CCACGAAGCGCGTGAAGGGCGCGCCGAAGCATTGACGATGCAAGGGTATGAGGGAAGAGGAGGGGGGGCATGAGGATGAAGGATGGAACGCGGGGCGTTGTCTCTTCTAAACGGTGGCCGTACACCACAGGATGGTTGGGAACATAACACGACTCACCGACGTAATCTGCCCGCGTAAGGTCGCGCGCATTAAGCGCTACCGCCTCTATGCCATACCGTTCCGCAGTGGCGGCTCACGCAAGCCGCCGCGCAAGGTCGGCCAACATAAGGTGTGGTATGTAGAAGCGCGCATGTGCAGTGCAGCTGTTTGCTGATGATCGGGTGTCCGCCCAGATTTCATCGCCGATGGCGGTTGGCAGGGGGCGAGCTTCGGGTCGGTAGCACCGCTGCCGAACGATGCCGGGCTCCCCATCTCATCCCATGCCCTCCGCCTCCTCCTCCCGCGTCTTCTCCATCCTTCCCCGCCTCGCCTCCTCCTCCTCCCCCTCCTCCTCCGCCCCCTCCTCCTCCTCCTCCTCCTCATCCCCCCTCCTTCTCCCCCTCCCACCACTCCCCCGCTGTCTCGCCCCCGCCCCCGCACCTTGCCCTCCTACCCAACCCCGCCCGCGCGCAACTCGGCTTGCAACGCCCACGCGGCGGCGATTGCGATGCATGCACGGGGCTGGCTGGTGCATCTCTTCGGCCGCGCTTGCCCGAGCATGCTCGCGCGCGCAGCGGCCAGCTGGTTCGGCCCGACCGACGCGGCCGCGGTGGCGCTGGCCGCTGGGCACTTCCCAGGGCGGGCATTGCAATGCGAGTCGGCGAGTCGGGCGGGCGCGGTATCATGGGAACGGACCAGGTGCGTGCCGCGAGGGATGTGCCCAGTCGGCAAGGCGGGGCCCTGGCGAGGCCTGATGTCAAAGGTGCTCGACTGATCAGGGCCCTCTGTGAAAACCCTGCGCGGGGCCCTCTGCGGGGGGCGGGGCGCGGGCGGGCCCCAACAGCAACACCAATATCAACGCGGGCGCCCGAACACATCCGTCCCCGACTGCAGGTTCAGCCGCCACGGGCTCGAGCTGTTGTTTTTTCGGAGCACAGTCGGCCGAGCTGCGCTCGCGGCGTCGACCATGCCGCCGAAGAAGAAGCCCCGATGGGACATCAGCCCGTCACCAGAGCCGCACGCCGCCGATGGTGGGCCGCCGCTGGGATGGGACAGCCCCGCTGAGGATGGCGGGCGCGACGAGGCCAATGCAGCGCGGTACGCAGCAGGAGAACGCTTATGTGAGATGTGGCTTCTCGGGTACTGCGAGGGCAGACTCACGGCCAAAGACGTGTGCTCGTCCGCGTGGCTCGCCCGCGAGTCGGGCGCCGCAGGGCCGTTCCACCTCTACATGCTTCACCCCGACAGCGCGACGGGCAACTTCCAGAAGAAGTTGGACCGCGCCTTCAAGTTCGTCAAGATGGTGGACCCCGTGGACGTCGAGGCGCCGATGCTCCGCAGGAGGTCTGAGCGGGTCTCGGGCAGCGTGCTGCTGACGCCGCCGCACGAAGCCATCTCCGCGGAGCACTTGGCTGACCCTGAACTGGCGGGCAAGCTGGATGGGGGGATCGCTGGCAGCCCCGAGTGGGCCGACGCGTACGCGCAGCACCCTGCAGTGCGCGCCGCGGCGGGTCGCCCAGTGCACCCCGTGGCATTGTACATCGACGGGGTCCGCTACACCAGATCGATCGGCCTGGGCCGCGCCGACTCGTTCATTGGTTTCTTCGTGTACAGCCTGATCAGCCAGAAGCGCCACTTAGTCGGGCTGGTGAAGAAGTCGAAGCAGTGCAAGTGCGGCTGCAAGGGCTGGTGCACGCTCTGGTGCATATTTCGGTTCTTGGCGTGGAGCTTCAGCGCCGCGATGGTCGGGCAGAGACCAGCGCAGAGATGGGATGGCACCGCGTTCGGGGAGGACGACCACTACGGGGCCATGGCGCGGGCTAGCCCCGCCCTCCCCTGCCGAATCGCCCTTGTCCAAATCAAGGGCGATTGGATGGAGTTCTGCAGCACGTTGGGCTTCCCGAACTGGCAAACGAAATACACGCCATGCATATTTTGCAGGGCGGCTAAAGACGAGCTCTACCAGTTCTCCAGCTTGACCTCGAAGACGCATGAGTGGGGCACGTACGCCGACGACGCCTATGACGCACACTGCACAGCCTGCGAGATCACGGTCACCCTGACTTCTGAAGATGATCGGGTCCACCTCCTGGGTAATTTGAAATGGGACATGTCCAAGACAAAGGGTCTCGGCGGCAGACTGTGCGCGGGCAATGTCCCGCGCTTCGGTTTGGAAGCACATGACCGCCTGGAACCGTCTGATGAGCTCCCCGACATCGGTGCTTTGTCAACGACGCCCATGCCGCCCGAGGGGCTGCGATTGACTTTCTGGAGACGCCACTACGTTGGTAAGGCCGCCACCGACCCCGTGCTCCGCCGCAACCCGCTGTTGTGCCCGAATGTCATCGGCAATGTGCGGGCCGTCCTGCGCATTGACACGTTGCATACGTTATACCTCGGAGTCTGCCAAGTCTACATCCAGACTGTCCTCTGGAAACTCGTGTCCAAGAATGTGTTCAACGTCCAATGCGGAGTCGCAAAGGACAGGGTCGGCCTCTGCTTCCGCCATCTGTTCAACCATCTTCATAAGTTCTACGCCGACGAGGAGGTTGACCAGTCATATCGGATTGCAGAATGCACGCCCGCCATGTGGGGCGATGGCCCCACAGGGCAGTGCCACACAAAGGCGGCCGAGGTCGGCCCTTTGATTGCGTGGGCCGTGCGTCTGCTTGCCGACTACCAGCTCCCTGGTGACGTGGGGTTGCATCTACGGTTGGCTGGCCAGGCCCTGAATAAGCACATGACAATCATGAAAACCGAGCCGCAGAGAATGTCGGATGAGGCAACGCAGGGCCTTATCGATACCTTCCATCGCCATACATCACTGATGATGCGCGTTGGGGCCCGCTTCGTCCCCAAACACCACCTTTGGGCGCACCTTGTTCAATGCGCGGCGGCTAATGGGAACCCAAGGTTTTACAGCATTTTTTTGGATGAGACTCTTAATGGTGTGGTCGCCACCATGGCGAAGGCGGGGCACTCCAAAACTTGGGAGCGCCGCATTTTCACGCGCCTGCAGCTTGTGCCATTATATAATAAGGGTAAATATTTTGCATCTGTTCACGGTGGTGTTTGAGTCGGGGTTCTCCCGCGGGCGGAATTGCAGTTGGCAGCGCACGCGCGATAGTTATTAAGTATATATATATATACATACATATGGGTATATACACCAAATTATATATACACATAAAGTGTGTATCTGCCCGCGTGCGTGCAACACGTTTACCTGATCGGCCCGCCAAACGGCGCCCGAGCAAGATCAGGCCGCAGCCCGCGGGGAGAGAGCCCACATAGATTATAAACACCGAGCCGGCGATCCTCTAAGCGGGAACAGCAATGCCCAGATATCGATAATGCTCTGCGCCTCGTGAAAGATAGAACAGCAGCAGAGTCGACTCCTGCGTCCCGCTGGTCTCTGTGATGTCGAGATACTTGGCAGGCGCAACCCTGCTTGCCACCCTCCCTTCCCGCCCGTGCCACGCGAGGGCCCCGACACACGTGCCGTTCGCACCCCGCCACATTCCGCCGCGCCCTCCTGTGCAGATCCGCTGGGCCCGAGCCAGCGGTTTTTTGGGGGTACTCGGCGCGCGATGACTGGGAAACGCAGGCGCGACCCCACGCCGATCCCAGCAGACCTCAAGAGACAGGTGGGGGTCATAACGTATACCGAGCGGGGCTAGGACGAGGATATCCGTTCCAGAGCGTTCTAGTCTTAGAGCGTTCTGGAACGCTCCGAAAAGGCGGCGCCCGAGACATCCTCCAGAGCCGTCGGGTCTCAGAGATTCCCGATTTTCCCGAGGGTCAGCTCACAATACCCCTCCCTCAGCACTGTTGCGCCCCGCGCGCCCGACAAGGCTGGCCCAGAGGGCGTGTGCCTGTTTCTGCGCAACGAGTTCAAAAAGATGTTCCCGAACGAGACGTTCGACCGCCGTGCACCGCTGGACGCGAGGGGAGGGCAGGATAGTCAAGGCTCGTTTCGACTCCTCCTATTCGATACAATCCGATGTCGATGGATTCCGATTCCGATTCGGTTCGGTTTCGATGTATCCCGATTCAGATGCCATTCGACTCTTGATTCCGACTCGGACTGCGATTTCCGCCGATTCGATTCATCCCGACTTGGCTGCCGATACCCGCTGACCCGATGAATCTAGAATGGCTGCTAAGAATATGCTGAATATTTGATCGAACCGTGTTGCCCGACCGTGACTTCATTGCACTATGCCTCAACCCTCTTCCTCCTCTTCCCCGCCGTCGGTGGCGCAGGAGTGGATGAACCGCGTGCTGAAAGGGGTCGGCGCGTTCAAGCACAACATCATTGAGGATTTGGACTTCCTGGAGGTCTTCAGCGGCCACGGCGGCGCGAGCGCAGCGGTGCGGAAGGCCAGGGGCCCATGGCGATGACGATGACGATGGCGGAGCAAACGATGACTGTGCCGATGGACGGAGCAGGAGAGGGGGTGAGGATGATGATGGTGATGACGACGACGATGACGGTGACGACGACGATCGAAAGGAGACGGATGTAATGAATGGAAGATGCCGTGGGTGATAGGAGGACTAGGAGGAGGAGAATGAGGGGGATGCGGAGGAGCGAGGGCGAGGGGGGGGATAGTGTTGCCATGTGCGGGGGGTTAGTCGAGGGAGGACGATGCGTACTGGAAGGTGGGAGTGAGGTGAGGAGAGCTCGCGACCCAGCCCCGCGGAGGCGGGCTTCAAGGCGCAAGAGATCGACGTGCTGCGCCACCCCGACGAGGACGTGTGCACCCCACTGGGCCTTTGGAGCCTAGGATCCCGCTTCTTTTTTTGGAGTGGATGGGTGGGATGCCTCAATCTCGATCGAGACTTATACCGTTCAGAAACCTCGTCCTCCATCCCCGTCCCTGGAGTTTAAGAGCTAACCTCGCAGCCCGTCCGCTGGAGCCCAGCCCTTCCAGCCATCTCATGCCCATGTAATCAAGACGCTGATCTAATGACCACTTTGGGTTCGGAAGAGGCTCGCTGTTTCTGTGGTTGTTCCTCTAGCCATCCTCGTGCACCGTGGCGCTGTTGGTACTCCAGGTTTCGTAATAAAAGGGAGGGGGTCTGGACCCTTCAAGACAAGCCATTTCAGACCTCCCCCGTGGGAGAACCCTCCAAAACATCGTCCCCAGACCCCCCAGGCCCTCCAAGATAGCCTGGAAGAGACCCCCCCCCGAAATGAGACCCCCCTCCCTTTATTGCGAAATCTGGAGTACCAACACCAGGGTTTCGTTCCTATGTGGCGCTCCTTATTACAGCAACTTTACCGTATTAGAGTTCGCTGTGCAATGATGCTCCCAGGGCTGATGGTTTGCCGCGTCAAGACAGGAGGTGTTCTGTGGATCAACCCGCCTCATGACTCGTGGATCATGGGAGGTGACATGGAGTGGAATCGTCAACTTGTTATCGCTCACGCTCTCCCGTTCCCTCTCCCTGATCTCCTCTCCCTCTCTCTTTCATTACATCTCTCTTTCTATCGTTCTCACCTCTCGCTCTCTCTATTCAACCTCGCACGCTGCGCTGACCTACATCTGCAAGGGTGCAGCGAGAGCTACCGTTCCCCCACGAGGATGTGGATGACGAGGGGGGTGACGAAAGCCACGACAAGGAATGCACAGTCAAAAGGGGTGGCGGAAAAAACAAATGGAGGTATAACGACCCACGAACAACACACACACAACCATAAGGGGATCGGCGGGAGGAGGACTGGCTGGGTGCGGGTTGTCGGGCCGCGGGGGAAGCTCCCGTTCGAGCGGGGACCCGCATCCGACAACACTAGGACGAGAGGGGCGAGGGGGATGAGGTGAAGATGCGGCGAGGACGGCGACAGTGACCCCCTCGCCGAAGGTGACACCACTCGCTCGAAGGACATCTTGGGTGACTTGACGAAGCAGGACGTGGTTGATGGCAACTATGTGGTAGAGCTGGTGGAGGCTCTGAGCGTGACGTGCAACGATTGGGGGATTCACTGTATCCTAGACACGTCGGTGCTGTCCCGCTTCGTCATGCACCCGAATCAGGATATGGGAATCAGAGCGAGCTGGGATGGGGAGGGGCTGGCAAGGGGTAGGGGTGGCAGGATGGGAGGAGGAGAGAAGACAGGAGGGGAGGGGAACATACACAAGTGAGCGAGAGAGAGAGAGAGAGAGGGAGAAGAGAGAGAGAGAGAGATATATACAGTCAACCCGCATAATAGGGATGGGCAACCTTCCCACGGATACCCTTGCATCCTTGTCCCTTCGGCCCATCCTTGACCACTTTCTCTGGCCGTGCCCCGCTCGAAAAGCGTCGAAGTGGCCCTCCAAGGCCCTTGCATCCGTATCGCGCGTCCTTACTAGACGGGTTGACTGTAGCACGAGATGACGAGGAGTAGAGTCAGCGCCGACACCGACCCCCACAACACAATCGGGGGGGCCCCGCCCATCCGTCCTGTGGTTCCATGGATCGTGACAGGAGATGGGGAGAAGGAGGAGGAACAGGAGCAGGAGGAGGAGGATACGATTGATGATGAAGGCGGCGAAGATCAACGCTGTCATATATAACCGAAGGTGACAAGCCGTAAGATGACGAGGATGTGATGGGTAGTATCGGAAGGTCGGAAAGATACTCCCAAATCCGACAGCCCAGATCCGACAGGAGAACCGTGCCAAGAAACACCCTGCTTGCCTGCAGGGTGCCCTGGATTTCTTGGGTACCGACGGATTTGCTATGGAAAGCGTGGCGCTCCCACGCGAATTGACGTCCTGGGGTCTCAAGGGTGGGTTTCTTGTGAAGGTTTCTTACGGTCGAGCCTCTGTGCAGGCGGCGCGATTGAGTTAACCTTCGCCGTTTGCCCCCCCACCCCCCCGCCCCCTCCACGCCTTGGGATGTGGATCGCTTTCGGCATCGCCACTGGGCCCTTGGCCTTCGACGAAGGGGCGTGTGATATCGATTCACATTCAACGGCGGGTTCACTCAAGCCCAGGTGAAGTTGCGCAAACACCTCAAGTTGATGGACGTCTACGGCTGGCTCGGAGGCGATTCGATTCTTATAGGTCGTCATGCTTGACCGCAGCAGTGGAATTGAGTTTCGAGGGGTCCCTCGATCGTGTCCAGCTTTTGTTTCGGCCTAGCTGCGGATCCCCGTGGCCGACCCCGTGCCCATCCCCTGCTGCCCCTTTTCCCCTCCCTCCCCTCCCGCCCCCTCTCCCCTCCATCCCATCCCGCCTCCGGTAACCCGCCCTCTCCCCTCCATCGCCTCCCACATCTGTTAGCGTTGCAGTCGCGTGCTCCAGGTGAGGAGATCCCGCGGACGTTGCCTACGCGACTGACGACGTCTCCAGAGATCCACGAGCTGGCGAAGATCTACTTCCAGAAGCCGAAGGCGCACAAGCGGCGGAGGAGGAGGAGAGATGAAGAGGAGGAGCAGGAGGAGAAGCAGAAGCAGCAGACATCGGGCAACAGGGCTGGACCTAAACACTGTTTTTCGTTGTGGGTTCGTTTTGTTGTTCGTTTTGCTCTGCCTGTTGTCCTGCGCCCCCCTGCCAAAACGAAAAACAAAACACAGCCGAAGTCCAGCAACACAGTGTTCAGGTCAAGCCCTGTCGGGCAACGTTTGGATTCGAGAGGCGCCGCTGAAGCCGAAACCCTTGGCCGTGTCCACTTACCGCTATCCGAGGTTCACCACGCAAAACCACAAACACGCTAGCCTCTGGCAGAAGGCGTACTTTATCAGAGAGTACCAGCGATATATGATGGTGCGTAGCCAGGCGATATCGGATGCGAACGTAGCCCCCCCTCCCCCCTAACAACGATCCCCGTCTCTATACTTTCTCCTCCGCTATCCCTCCGACTCTCCTGTTATTAGCTCGCTTCCGCTCTCCAGGTGAAGGATTCTCAATTCGAGGGCGAGGAGGCTGAGTCTACCATGACAAAGGTTGCTGGCCACTGGGTCAAAGGTGGCACGGATAATAATGAGTAACCGCGCTGAATCGGCAATTCTGGAGATCGGGCTGAGGAAGCGGAGGAGCGTGCAAGCTGTCGGGGAATTGGGAGGGACTTCGAGCGAGAGGCGGATTCGTGCTGCCCAGGTTCGGGTTCCAAGGAGCCCTTGAAGCACTGCACGCCGACCATGTGCGCGGCGATTGCCGACATCGTTACCTTCGCGAAGGAGATCAAGGTGGTGCCAGTGGTCGACGTGTCCGATGAGGTATGAGAGCGGCCCATCATGGGCCGCCGTGCACGTGGGATCGCTGCGCATGGGAGCAGCGCGTTGCCGACGCAACAGGGGGAAGAAATGATGAGGGATGCCAGCGAGGATGATGGGTTACAGTCGGGGCCCTGGAGAAGGAACCCTTTTCGCTGGGGAGGGGCTCAGTGTTCCTTGATCGTTTCGCAGCTTGCCTTAGGTTTTCCTTGGGCTTTCGATGTGAAATCGAAGTTCAACTTATGGAAAATAGGGGCCTCGTTCCTTATTTAGGGTTCCTTAGGTCAGCGCCCCGACTGTGTTCCCCTGGCAGCCTTCGGTAGCAAATCATGGAGCCCTGTGTGCCCTCGTAATTCCGTCTTCAGCGTCGGCTAGCATCGATTGGCGTCTGGGGGGCGATGAGATAGCGCCGACTTAGCGTCGATTGGCGTCGACTTAGCGTCGGTTGGCGTCGACTTAGCGTCGACTAGCGTCGACTTCGTTCCCCTCTCCTCCCCGTCCTCTGGGTGCCCCTTGCCGTCGCTCGGACGTCCGTTTCCCGTGTTTTTGTTTAGGTTTCGCGCGTGTTGTTTTGCTCGATGGTCCAGGATGGTCCTCGATGGTTCTCGCCAAGAAAAAATGCACACGCCCGAGCGATGCCAAACCACATGGCGCGACGATAACCGTGCATCGCGCGTCGCGGCCTGGACAGGAGAGGCACCCGCCTCAATAATGACAGCGCGAGGGTGCGAAGATATTCGCCCACGATTCGCGATCTTAAGTGACTTAGGCCCTACGAGGCCTACTCCAGATTTCGTAAGAAAAGGGAGGGGGTCTGGACCCTCCAAGACAAGCCATTTCAGACCTCCCCCGTGGGAGAACCCTCCACAGCATCGTCCCCAGACCCCCCAGGCCCTCCAAGATAGCCTGGAAGAGACCCCCCCCCCGAAATGAGACCCCCCGCCCTTTCTTACGACATCTGGAATATATACCCTGGATCATGCAATTCGGTGACCTGGGTCATACTGTGATCCGACTCCGTAGCCAGTTGACCAAGATTCGGCCACCAGACCATGGCTGCGCGACAGCAGCACTCGGCTCGCTAGAGGTGGATCCTGGGCATTGCGACGCAGGCGAAGAGGAACGGCTGGTTCGTCATATCCTGTGCACTGCGATGCCAGAGGTGAACCACCGTTTCGTCATATCCTGGGCACTGCGCTGGAGGTGCTGTTTCGTCATATCCTGGGCACTGCGATGCAACGCTCGAGGTGAACGGCTGTTACGTCATATCCTGGGCACTGCGACGCTCGAGGTGAACGGCTGTTACGTCATATCCTGGGCACTGCGACGCAGGTGAGAGGAACAGCTGCTACGTCATATCCTGGGCGCTGCGATGCAACGCCAGAGGTGAACGCTGCTGTTACTACATATCCTGGGCACTGCGACGCAGGAGATGAACTGCTGTTTCGTCATATCCTGGGCACTGCGATGGGACGCCAGAGGTGAACGGCTGGTTCGTCATATCCTGTGCATTGCGATGCAAGGTGAGAAGCGGCTGCTTCGTCATATCTGGGAGGATGATGTGGATGATGAGGATGATGGGGGTGATGAGGGTAATGAGGATGATGAAGGTGATGAGGCGCGTGAAGAAGCTGCTGGGGAGGAGGAGGAGGAGGAGGAGGAGGATGAATTAATCTCCAGCATCGTTTAGATTTAACTCGCGGGATCTGGTTTTTCCATGCTTTTCCGTTCGGCCGCCCTCGCGCGCGGCCGAATATCGCATTCCAGCCCGCGCCCTGAGGTGTCGGAGATTGTAGCAGGCCTGATGTTGATGATGAGGATGGGGAAGAACGCCAGGCGGCTGAGGAGGAGGACGAGGAGGAGGAGGAGGAGGAGGAGGAGGAGGAGGAGGAGGAGGAACACGACAACGGCCGCCACTCCAGCCTCGTCGCGGGATCTGTTTTTTCCATGCTGTTTCGATCCACCCCTCCCCAAATCTCCCCCCCACCCCCAGGCAACAAAAACAACACATCTCCGACATTATTAAACCACATCCTCACCTCATTCCCTCCTGCAACCAACCCCAACCGCTGCAGCCGCAGCAGCTGTGGTACATGTGCTGGGACGCCCACGATCGTATTTGAAGTGCCTTGTTTGGACCCTTGACCAAAAAACATACGCACACATCACGTCCCATCCTCTTCCTTCTCCTCCTCCGTCTGCTCCCCCTCCCTCGCCCTCCTGCGGGCAGTCGTTGTTTTTTTCTGCCCGCCACCCCCCCCGTGCGGCGGCGGTCGAGGGCGAGGCCGCGGAACCCCTAACGACAAAAGGGCCCCTACCCCCAAGGCTTCCCCTCCTCTCCTCCTCTCCGCCCCCCTCCCCCCTCTCCTTCCTGCCCCTCCCTCCTCTTCCCCCTCCCTTCTCACCCGATCCCCTCCCTCCCTCGCCCTCCGCATACTTCCGCCGCGCTCGGCGTGCCCTTTCAGAACGGTGGTTCGTGTGAGAGCTTTTCCTCCCCATCCTCCTCCACCCCCCCTTCCTCCCTCCCCCGTCCCCCTCCTCCTCGCCCCCCTCGCCCGCCCCTTTCGCTCCTCTCCTCCCCTTCCAATCCTCCGTCCCCCCCCCCAGATCGCCTGCGAGGACGAGCCTCGCGCGCGTGCGCGCGCCCGCGGGCCAGAGGGCCGATCGGGCCAGGGGGCCGAGAGGGCCAATATTTATGAGGGTAGCCATTCCCGCGTTGTTCGGCGTTTGTTGTCATGTGAAAACGTGTGTTTATATACATATATCTATATATGCACATTCATGAATGTATACGCATATGTGTGTACATATATATATATAATGTATATACGTATTGATATACGTATTGATATATACATTATATATATGTATATATATACACATATATACACATATAAGTGCCAACCTCCTGGCTTTGTTGGGGGATGGGGGTGTATCTTTTCCGGCCATCTATCCTCGCCCGCGGATGTTCCGAGATCGTGCCGCACATACTTTTACACCCCGCTTCCCCGACGCCCGCCCGTTTTACGACCCCAATCCAACATATTTATTTTTACGCCCTGGGCGTAAAAATTACGTCCCCCGACCCTCTGGGTCGGGGAACGACGTGGCCGGCCATCTCTGGCGTCTATCAGACCAGCTCCGCACCGAGCAGGTCGACGACATGCTGTGGTGCGTCGCCATAGACAGAAGGCCGACCCCATGGCGAAGGAGAGCATCGGCCGGGAATTCATTCTCGCTATCATGGGCGAGGAGCTCAGCTACGACCGCGACGCCATCAGCCTGAACGGGGAGCGACAAGAATAAGAAGACCGTGCCGAGATCCTGCCACAGCACTCTCGCCCACGTGGACTTGGGCGACCAGAATGGCGAAGTCGCCGGTTCGCCCGACTCCACGGGCATGAGCTCGCATTGACTATGTCAGCGCAGCTCGCGGTCCCAACGATGGTAAGGGGCGAAACATGCGCTTGCATCTCGCGAACTACGTCCGCGAATGCGACGTAATGAAGCACGCATGGAAAGAGGTGCTTTCACGAGCGATGTTCGGGGAACAAGCAGACGATATGAAAGTTGAGCATGTAAGTGGGTGAGATCGTGCTCCATCAATTTGCATGATGCCTGGCAACTTGTTTATGACGGGGCGTGGTCAGCACGACGTCTTTTCTTTGGCTTACATGTTGCTTCATTGGTTCATGCACGGGTTGCGTGCGTGGGCCGACGAGGCGCGACAGCTTCTCTTGAGCACCATACTCGGAGAGTAGGTTGATCCTCAATCTGCTTGTTCTCCCGTTGCGCCGCTTGGGTCGCGTAGGCTGACCCCGCCGCGCCCGTTATAGACGTGTGTCCTTGCAGTTGTTTCACGCCGTGTTTGATATGGGAAACATTCATCAGTTCCACATCCCAGATTGTTTAATTACGCTTCGCGAGCCCCCGCCAGCCCATCCAGAAACCTTGCCCACGAGAGCTGCCGGCAAATGTAAAGCGAGGCGCGTAGTAAAACAGAGCGGTCAACGAGAGGAGGGAAAAAGACGTGTTGAACCATGTCGGATGCTATCTTGGAGCGTCGGGGGCCTTCTTGGAGCTATGGGTTTTTTTGGGGGGTATTGAGGTCCTCATGGAGCTCTTTTGGGGCATCTTGGGCCCCTTTGTGGGCTC